CTGGACGTAATTTTTTTCTCACCGGTTGTCATGATGGCAGATTTAATCATGGAAGGAGACCATTCAGGGTGAAAAGTCTTGACATACGCAGCCGCGCCTGCAACGTGTGGACATGCTATCGAAGTTCCGGCCAGTACAGTGTAGTTTACATGTCTGGTGTCGTTCTCTTTTTTATACGGTGGTATAAGTGAAGCCACAGGTGGATAGGCAGAGAGGATCTCCACTCCTGGTGCTGTTATATCTGGCTGCAACCATTGTCGCGGGTCAAGAAACCAATAGAGTAAGAGCAGGAGCAAGATCAGAAATGATATACCTTGAGAATATCAGAAGCAATGGCGTTTGGACCGCGGGCAGAGAAGGAAACAACTTTAGGAGCTGTCTGATTAAAGATTGTCTCAGTTGTTAGAACAGCCGCTTCTGGAGACCTTGAGAGGATAAACGCAGGGATAAAGATGTAAGAGGATAATAACTATGTAAAACGCATGATACAGAGAGAAGATCATTCGTTACTTTGTGGAGTTAATGTAAGAGACGAGAGAGGCAAAGTCATCTTGTGATAGAGCAGAGAAGGGCAAAACGTGGACGGCTGCATAGTCTTCAGGGTTTACAAAAATGGATGCAACAGCTCCCATTGAATGAGCTATTTTCAGACCATCATAATTATCGCAAACCAAGATGTTCCCTTTCACTAGAGATTCGTCTAGACACCTTTCTAAACATTGCCTGCAAAGAGATCATATCACAAGTTAGAATATTAATACATGTCCTGCTTATCATCCCAATTAAGATGGTGTTTCTTGCGGGAGAAAGTTACTTGGCAGATTCTGTGTCACAGGTAGGCAAAGCAGCAGATTTTCCGTACACTAGTGGGTACTTCTTTCCTTTCAGATCAAAAGCATTCACTGATTTCCCCTGTTAAGTAAAAGGAACAAAAGAGTCACTGGTAATTGAAAAGACAAAAATGTTGTGGTGATAGAAATGAGAGTGTTACTTGAATACTTACCACAAGTGTCTTGCCGTTACCGAGAACAACTTTGTTGACAAACCCACGATTCGTGGTGCTGGCTCCAACGGAAAAAATCCAAGGTGCTACGCTCGAGATTAAGCCCGGAGTCGGACCGCTGTTATCAGCCGAGTTCACAGTAAGGATTCCCTTGGCCATAGCATGAAAAGCCCCAATCGCGGTCGGTTCCTGTTCGAAGGGGAATGTATATCCATCGATAGATAGAGTGATGAGGTCAACACCGTCGGCAATCGCATCATCAAACGCAGATAGTATAGCTTCTGACGTACAACCTTTTCTGAGGCAGACATTGTAAGCTGCAATTCTAGAGGCTGGAACGGCACCTCTCACCGTTCCATTGCCGATTCCAAAGAAGCTTATGTCCGCAACAGCATTTCCAGTTGCGATGGACGCTGTATGTGTACCGTGTCCAATAGAGTCCCTAACACCTCCCCCTGTGTAGTCTCTTGCACCTATTAATTTGCTGCCAAGTAATAAACAGATATTTGAATTGGCCTATCTGATTTGGCCACGACTACACTTAGGTTAATAAAGATATAATCTTCTATGAATAAATTAAGAGAGTTACTTGTTGCAGGTAAAGTTTTTGCCGCCGGAACAAACACCTTTCCATTTCTTGGGAGGAGGGCCAAAGCCTTTATCGGAGAAGCTCTCGGATTCAGGCCAAATCCCAGTGTCGATGACTCCGACAATAGTATCACTCTCCACGGCCAAGTTTCGTTTTGTATTCTTTCCTTCCTTTAACCCCATGAAATCCCAAGACCTAGTCGTTTGGATTTTGTAGTTCTTGTTCGGGAACACAGACACAACTCCCTCCATTTCTAACAACACAAAAAGGGTTTAAATTAATTATCTAACCTCTGTAAAACCAATTCAGCATAAGTGTGTCTCGGTCGAAGAACACTCACCGGCTACTCGTTCCCGTTCTGCCTCTGTGAGTCGGGCCGCAAAACCGTTGAAACTCCTCTTGTAACTTCTCACTAGGCGACCTCCGATTGAACTAGAGCATATATCACTTGTTAGAATCTTCATAGCAATAGTTGAATTGATTATAACTAACCATAACTAGAGAATGAATCTATTAAATCACACCTTTCTCCGGTGACCTCTTGAAGAATACTCGTGTGATGAGACATTGGCGTGTATTCCACTCGAGACGGAAGTGAACCCATGTACACAACATACACCTTCATGAATTATTATCATCATGTATGATGGATCATCATAGGGAGAAACAACAAAAAAAAAAGCTTGAAAATCTTGAACTAAAATAACATACTTGTTTATCTTGAGGATCATCTGTGACTGCTGAGACTGAACTGATCAAGAACAAAGCAAAGAGACATGAGAAGAGACTAAAGGAAGCTGCCCCTTTGGCCATCTTTTTCTTAGAAAATGATTTTAAGATTTCTGTAATTTCTCACTTTTTACGGAGCACAACAAGATATGATGTACAAATAGGAGAAATCATGTCTAATTAAAACGTATCAAGAAAGAAATCTTAATTAAAATTCCTCTGATTCTATTTCTTACTATATAACTAGTATCACCATAATGGCATAATGTTAAATGTTACTCGTATATCATTGAATGTTGACCAACACTTTTTGGTAACATTGTATTTACATTTTTAAGTTGCATATCTAAGGATTTACTTGTCACTAGATTTTGACCCACGACGAGCATGGGATTAAATGATTAAATATATTTATAATTTATTTTAATATGTAAATGTGTCTGACAAATACTATGATTTCTAATCTTTATAAACTTACAAAATGATATGCATTGTGTATAAGTATAATCAAGTTAAATTTTGATCAAATATATTTTGATGCCATCAATTTTAATATTTTTATGTGCAATTGATCAGAACATATGAAAATGTTATTTATTTAAATATATTTTAAGTGTAAAATTAATTTTTATTATTCATGTAAATTATAGAATATACGATAAATCAAATAAATTTTAGATTTATATGAATTTGTTGGACATAATAAACGAAAAACAATATATATTTTTTAATCATGAAATGTGTAACATAACATATTAATCTAAATACATATATACACAATAAATAATATTGTCACAAATATAATTATAAAAAGTTTTTAAATATAAAAGAAGTTTAAAAAATAGATTATATGATATGTATAAATATTACATTTAGTTGGACTTAGATTTGCAAAACATGTATTAAAGGGTTTATGCTATAAAATTAATAAGAATTTGTATAATTAATTAAAATATTTTATTGGTTAATTTAAATGAAATCTTCCTTGAAACCTTCATTAATTGACACATAAGATTTTTACCTTAGTGTCTCCTCAATTAATAGATAGAAGATATCTATATCTCTATTTGTTTTTTAACTTCTTGCAGAAAACCAAAAAGTTGAATTACAATTGATTTATTTTCTCGTTCGTTTTGTACTCTATAATCTTCTTTATCTTCATTTTGCAATATAATTGACATAACAAAAATGAATGGGGATATTATATGAGATAAGTGATAACCTATATTTTGCCTCTAATATAAAAAGTAACCTTTTGACTAACATGATAAAATAACTATTGTGATGTGATACGATAATTGGTTGTTGGCTCATATAATGATGCGTTGCAGATTGTCCAGGGATCACAAAGTTCTTGAGGTAGCATTCCTCTGCTGCATTTCTGATATGAATTTTGCCTCTTGTGTTTGGAGCTTTTCAAATTGGATCCTTTAGACGATTGTTATATAGAGAATGCTTGAACTGAATTTTGTCTTCTTGGATATACGGATGAGTTTGATTCAAGTAAACACAAAGCTCTTTGAAATTGTGCCTGTTGTTAAACACAAACCTCAAAAAAGCACAACAACAATATTAATTTTATTATGATTATTGATGACTATGGTGGATTCTTATGTGTCCACATCAGTCATCACTATCAGTATAGACAACAATGGGACTTCTCACGTTATGTGTTCCATCAGACCAGATTAAATTTGCAGACGAAGGCAGTTTTGGGTCAAGACCGCTGCCTGAAACAGTTACCGTGAAAGACTGCTTCTCGTTCGTCGACTTCATAGTTAGGACACTAGGCGAGACCTTGACATTGAGCTTAGATCCGTGGTTTAAGACAATCCTTGATTTGTATGTAGGGTTCGGGGTACCGAGGTTGGTGACGGTTCTTTTGAAAGTCACAATGAAGGAGCTATTATATCCCGAAAGTTTAGCCGACATCGAAGGATAATTGAGGTTTCTTGGTGAGGTCTTCCCAGTGCAAGTGACCATTTCACCGGAAATGAGTTCAATAGCTTTTGAACTGTAGTTCAAGCCACAGAGAAAGGCAATGTGGTCTGCTTTGTCCAGTTCATAGACTAGTCCAGGATTAAGAGCGGCTATTGGGTCGACATGTCCAGCTCCATAAGCAAACTCGGTCGATGCATTGCCAGTTTCAGAAGCATTCATCGGCCAAGCTGCGATATTTGATTAAGAGAAGAGAGTTTCCAACAGATGTTACTAGCAAGACAAAGAAAGTAAAAGCTGGATGTGATTTTTGTTTACCGGTTGTCATGATGGCAGATTGTATCACTGAAGGAGTCCAATCAGGATGAAAAGTCTTGATGTACGCAGCCACGCCTGCAACGTGCGGACAAGCCATTGAAGTTCCGGATAGAATAGAGTATTTCACATGTCTTTCGTCATTATTATCAGCAGATGGTGAAGCCAAAGGTGAAAACGCAGCGAGAATCTCCACGCCTGGTGCTGTAACATCTGGCTGCAATCCATCCAACCATTGTCTCTCAGACCAAGGGAAGAAAACAGAATCAAGATCATAAAAATTGTTATACCTTTAGAATATCAACAGCGACGGTGTTTGGACCGCGAGAAGAAAAGGAATCAACTTTAGGAGCTTTCTGGTTAAAGACTGCCTCAGTTCTTAGAACAGTGCCTTGTGGAGACCTGAGTAAAACAAACACAGAGATATAAGGACAAAGAAAGAAAATCTAGAGCAAACGTAAGAAACAGAGAGAAGATCGCTTGTTACTTTGTGGAGTTCATGTAAGAGAGGAGATAGTCAAAGTCATCTTCTGATAGAGTAGAGTAGGGTCGAGGGCTAACTGAGGCATAGTCTTGGTACTCTTTAACTATGGCTGCAACAGCATCTTGTGAACTAATTGAATATCCACTCACCAAGATTTTTCCCTTGACCAGAGATCCTTCAATAAAATCTCCATCCACAAGAGGATATTTCTTTCTTTTCAGATCAAAAGTACTCACTGATTTCCCCTGTTATATGATTCATTCGTAATCGAAAGGGATAAATATACTATATGATGATAGAAATTGAGAGTGTTACTTGGTACTTACGACAAGTGTCTTGCCGTTTTCAAGAACAACTTTGGTTACAAAGGCACGGTCCGTCGTGCTGGCTGCAACGGTTAAGATCCACGGCGCTACGCTCACAATTGTGGACAGATCGGGACCGCTGTTACCGGCTGATTGCACGGTGAGAATCCCTTTGTCCAAAGCATGAAATGCACCGATTGCAATCGTGTCATGTTCGTACCTGTGGGGTTCGTCTCCCCCGACAGAGATGCTGATGAGGTCGACACCGTCAGCAATCGCATCATCGTACGCAGAGAGTACAGCTGCTGAGGAGCACCCTGCTGGTTCGCAGACTTTGTAAGCGGCGATTCTAGATGCTGGAACGCCTCCTCTGGCCGTTCCGTTGCCGACTCCAAAGAAGCTTGTGTCTGCGACTGCGTTTCCAGCCACAGTGGACGCTGTGTGTGTACCGTGGCCTTCTCTGTCTCTAGTTCCTTCGCCTGTGTAGTCTCTTGCGCCGATCAACTTGCTGAAACATTGTAAACACATCAAACTCTGCCTTAAAACAATATTAATCTTTAAAACGAGAAATTACTCTAAGCGTGATAGATTACTTGTTGCATGTGAAGTTTTTTCCGCCGGAGCAAACACCTTTCCATTTCTTAGGAGGAGGACCAAAGCCTTTATCGGAGAAGCTCTCGGATTCAGGCCAGATTCCAGTGTCGATGACTCCGATTATGGTATCACTTTCCACCGTCGGATTCCTCTTTGTCACTTGTCCTTCCTTTAACCCCATGAAGTCCCAAGACCTCGTCGTATGGAGTTGTAACTTCTTGTTTGGGAACACAGACACAACTCCCTCCATTTCTAACCAAAACATACATTTTGATTATGGATCATTTTTTAT